CAGATGTGTTTGCAGCAGCAGCAGCAGCAGCAGCAGGATTTATTTGAGTGCAATCTGCAGCAGCAGCAGCTGCTGCTGCTGCTGCTACATTACGCAGCAAATGAGAAACTATAAGCGGCTCAGCAGCAAATACGAAGGCTACCAGCAGCAGCAAGTAACCGATGAACTGCAGCAGCAGCAGCAGCAGCAGCAGCAGCAGCAGCAGCAGCAACACACCGCATGAGTAAGCAGTTCATCCAGCGAAACGTCACCTGCAGCAGATCGACCCCCTGAGCTTCCAGGTGCTGGTAGAGGCCTTCTGCAGCAGCAGCAGCAGCAGCAGCAACAGCAGCAGCAGCAGCAGCAGCAACATACCGCATGCAGAACAGCAGCAGCTGAATGCAAAGCCGCAGAGAAGCAGCTGCTGCTGCCTTCACAAGATCACCAAGAGCAGCAGCAGCACAGCAGCAGCAGCACAGCAGCAGCAGCAACAGGTGCAGCAGCAACAGCTGCAGCGTGCGAGAGAACCTCATTAACACAGTATGCAGCAAGAAGCAAAAGCAACACCACAGCAAGCAGCAACAGCAGCAGCAGCAACAGCAGCAGCAGCAACAGCAGCAGCAGCAACAGCAGCAGCAGCAGCAACAGCAGCAGCAGCAGCAGCGGACCATCAACTCTTTTAACGATGTCCCGCAGCCTGACAACCAAACGCCGAATTCCAGGCTGCCCAAAAGTGTAGTGATCCTGCAGCAGCAGCAGCAGCAGCAGCAGCAACACCAGCAGCAGCAACAGCAGCAGCAGCAGCAAAAGCAGCAGCAAAAGCAGCAGCAGCAGCAGCATAAAGAAGCATTAACACCCAGCGATCCGAGCTGCTGCAGCCCGCACAGCAAACACCAGGAAACGGGTTGCTGCTGCAAGCAGCAGCAACAGCAGCAACACTCCAGCAGCAGCAGCAGCAACAGCAGCAGCAGCAGCAGCAGCAACAGCAGCAGCAGCAGCAGCAGCAGCATACCTGGATATGGGCAAGCAGCTTAGCGAGACACCAGAAGCTGTCCGCCTCAACCTGCAGCAAAACCTCCTCGTCTACCTGCAGCAGCAGCAGCAGCAGCAGCAGCACAACCACCCCCAGTAGCAGCAGCAGCAGCAGCAGCAGCGGCAGCAGCAGCAGCAGCAGCAACTGTTATCGCTGTGGGGGTTGACTGCTGCAGCTCCTCACCTCATCAATGGGAAGGCCCTCAGGATCTCTCCCTAAACCACAGCAACACACTCTAAACCCTAAACCCTAAACCCTAAACCCTAGACCCTAAACCCTAAACCCTAGACTGTAAACCCTAAACCCTCTGCTGCGTCGGCACGAACACAACGAACTCTTGCAGGCAGCAGACACGAGAGGATAGTTCCCCCTAAACCCTAAACCCCAAACCCTAAACCCTAAACCCCAAACCCTAAACCCCAAACCCTAAACCCTAAACCCTAAACCCTAAACCCTCAGGTTACCTAAAGCTGCATGAAGAAACACCGCGACGAAGGGGGTCAATAGATCGTTTATGCCCTGAGAGACATCCACGACAGCAAACCCTAAACCCTAAACCCTAAACCCTAAAACCCTAAACCCTAGGTAAACCCTAAACCCTAAACCCTAAACCCTAAACCGTAAACCCTAGACCCACCTGGACGTAGCCGCTCGCCGGGTGTTTAACTGCCCACAGAAACAGCGCGCGCTCCATACCCCTGCAGCAGCAGCACAGCAGCAACAGCAGCAGCAGCAGCAGCAGCTGCACCACCACCACCACCAGCTGCTTCTGCTGCAGCAGCAGCTGCAGCAGCTGCAGCAGCAACAGCAGCAGCAGCAGCAGCAACCGCTGCGGTCTGCCGTCTCCTCACGGCCTGAACCCCAGACAGGTCCCTCTCCCCTTTGGCTTGCATCTAAGGGTTTAGGGTTTACAGTTGTATCTGCGGGGGAGAGAATAACCTAGGGTTTAGGGTTTAGTGTTTAGGGTTTACAGTTGTATGCGTGGGTGAGAGAGCAGAGAGAAGACCCTAGTATTTAATGTCTAGGGTTTAGTGTTTAGTGTTTAGGGTTTAGGTTTTACAGTTGTAAGAGAAGACCCCAGTATTTAGCTTTTAGTGTCTAGGGTTTAGGGTTTAGGGTTTACAGTTGCATGCGAGGGTGAGAGAAGACCCTAGCATTTAGTGTCTAGGGTTTAGTGTTTAGTGTCTAGGGTTTAGGGCTTAGGGTTTAGGGTTTACAGTTGTATGCGATGGTGAGAGAATACCCCAGTACGCAGTGTTTGGTGTCTAGGGTTTAGGGTTTAGGGTTTAGGGTTTA